TAGAATGTTGTGGTAAGAATGAACTTCATTGAAAAAGTTTATTAAAGAAAATGAAATTTTTATAGTTGGAAAAATTTTATTTATTACCTGAAGACTTTATTTGTGTCATTTTTATGTAAGGTTATAATTATTATATGATTATTACTGTTTTTTTGTTATTGACTATAATTATTATTACTATTATTATTATTACGCTACTTGTCAATTTTATTATTAATTTCTGATGTTCTTTATGCATTATTCAGCATGACTGCCTGGTTTCATGTTACCGTCACGTTCTGCTGTTCTGTTATGTGCGAATAGATTAACATTTCCTCTTGAGAAATTCTACATTGAAATAAAATATTTTAAAAATTTATAATATAATTAACTTAATAGATAGATTTATTTGAAAAAATTTTCCATTTAAATTGAAAATGAAAGAATTGTATTAATATCTACTTAATAATTTAGCTTTGTTGAAAATTATTTCACGTAGATAAAACATTAAAAGAATATTTGACATTAAAATAAAATTTTTGTAACAGTTTGAAAAATTTCGTGACTCTGTGTAGAAGGAATGTTTGTTGAAAGAAAAGCAGAAATGAATAATGGATGAGATGCCTAGCGCGCCTAGCGTCTTTGGAATAGTCTGAATTGCGTGCAATATCTTTGGCTTAAAATTTAAAAACTTAAAAGGGTTTGTAGTAAGAAAATATACTTCAGAACTTTTTCTTCACAATATGTCTGTGAAATGAAATTGGAGGTTAAAAATGTTTTAAAATATTTGTAAAGTTTCTTTTGATTTGCTTTCAAACAACTGAACATTTAAAACAATAACTCAGTAAAACAACAAGATACTTTAAGATTTCTGTTATATAATATTAGAAATATTCATAAATATACCACAAAACAAACACATATCACACAAACACATACAACACACACACATAAAACACAAACACATACAACAAACACACACACAAAACACACACATATAATACAAACACACAAATGCACGTCCACTGTCATCTCAATCTTTTCATCTAAATTTTCATCTGTCCAGCGAGGATTTCACTACAATGCTAACACTTTTTTCATTTTTTTTTATTTCCTTTTATTTGTTTTTTTTTTTCATTTTTTTGTTTTTTTTTCATTTTTCCACTGCCGTCTTCCCATTTTTTTTTCGTAGAACCTCAAATAAATATTTAAAATAGTTGCACGGCAGGGAAGTAGAAAAGGTTTTTTTTATAAAAAAGAATTTTTTCACACTAATTTGAAAAAAAAGTGGCGTTTTTATGTTTTCAAAAAGAAAAAAAAAGATATATTTTTCTTGCCAGAGGAGGAAAAAGGACCTGCGCGTTATAAACAACAATCAGTTGCCTGCCAGCAAAACGATAATTGAATAGTATGTCTTGCTGCCTGCTTGCCTCACTGACTCCATCACATGCACTTCTTTCTCTCTCACCCACTCGTTCATTCATTCATTCGTTCATTTATTTATTCAATAATTCTTCATTCGTTCATTTTTTTAATTATTCAATCACTTCTTTTTCTATACTCTATTAATACTAATTTATTCATACTTTTCTGGTAACCTGCCATCTGCATTATATGTTTTTTTATAATATACGCCCATCAGAAATATTATATTTTAGTTGTAAACAAAAATTCTATTGGAATTATTTCAATGAATAAATAATAAAAAAACCATTTTTTCAGGTTGTAAAAACAAAAAAATAATTGCATTAATTTATTAAACATGAAAAAATAATTAAAAATTCAGAAGAGAGAGTGCAATTGAACGTGCGTCGGGCCGTTTGAAAAACATTTTATTTCCCTTTAATAGTTTCTACTCTCAATACAAAACATTAGAAGCAGCCTTCTTCTATTTTATTTAGTTTTAAATAATTAAACTGTTTCTATTCAGGAAACATGCCTGCAATCTTATTAGAGTGTAATACAGCCTTAGTGATAAGGCTGAATTGTCTGACTGCATAAGAACGCTATGCATACAAATTTGCAGATAATAAGAGTCAGCTCATCCCTTTCTTCTTTTTGCTATTCTTTTTGTTATTCTTTTGTTATTCTTTTGTTGGTTTTATTCTGAATAAGTTTTGTGTACATAGATTTTAACAATTTTAAAATGTTTAACTTTTTAAAAGTCAATTTTCAAAGCGTGAAATTTGTGATAACGCCTTAGTCTTTATATAAAAATAACTTATTTATCGTTCTCGGTTCTAAAAACATCTTCATGAGTTATTATTTTTCAATTGTAAATTGCATTTCAGAATTCATTTAAAAAAAAACAAAAAATATTTCAAAATACTTTAAAAAACAAAATAAAGAAAGAACCATTTCATACAGGCAGCTTACTTGGCAAGCAATTGAATGGATGTATATGGGTAAGGAGAAAAAATTGGCAATTCAAACTATATGCAAATGTTCTTCTCATGGCAGCATCTAAGATAAACCTCCTTTGCATAGAAATTGCGTTATACACAACTTTCAAGATTAACTTGCTTTGTATGGGGAAATGGAAAAACAAAAATTTTAAATTTTAAATAAATTTTATTAACTTTTTTCGAGTAGAAACAACCAATTTTTATAATAAAAATAAAGAGATTTTGTAGATAAACTTCTAAATTAATATAAAAATAATTTTTATAAATAAAACTTTTTCCAATTAGAAACATTTTTTCGAAGAAACAATAATATGAACCATCCATAAAAAAATGTTTAATCAATTGTAAAAATCACTAACAAATAACAAGAATAATCAGTTATATGAGTTCGTATGAATGTGAATGTGTGTGTATTTGTATGTGGGTTTATGTGTTAGTTTATGTGTGTGTGCGTGCGTGTGTGTGTGTGTGCCTGTGTGTGTGCCTGTGTGTGTAGTGTGCGTGTAGTTCACGTTCACCATTTCATCTTAGATTTTATCTTGCTCCGTTATTTAGTGTGTTATTTACGTGCTGTATGATTGAAAAAATAAATAATTTTTTTGTTGTAAGATAAAAAATAATTGTGTGTGTTTATGTGCGTGTTTGTGTGTAACCACCAATTATTTTTTGTTTTTTTGAGTTTTGTTTAAATTTTGTCGATTTAAATATTATAAAAATATGAAATCGACTGATTTTTAAAAACATTTTTTTTCATGATAAATAGGTAATTTCGCCGTTCAATTTTATTAAAATAGTTCAAATAAAATCTTTAAATGGAAATTTATTCTGCCAGGATATATTTAAATCATTTAATTTTTATATTTTGCAATATTGATAGTTATTTTCTAAAATTTTATCATAAAAATTCATCAGTGAAAACCTAAAAAACGAAATAAATATATAAGTATCATCTTTAGGAGCCTCTTACTTTATGAAAATGTGCACCGTTCATTTTCATTATTTCGTATAATGGATCTCCCTAAAATTGTTGATTAATAATTTCTGACATTTATGCACTACTCGAAAAAAATTCAAAACCCATGAATTCCATCACCAATAACATCGATCGCCGTAACAGAAAAAATAACATCAATTAATGCAACAAAAATAAAATATGAAATAAAATAATGAAAAAAGAACGTTAACACTAACAAAAAATAACACAAACACACAACAAACACACAAAAAACACACACACAAACACACACACATACACACACACAAACACACACATACACAAACATAGAATGTTTACACAGGCACATTCCCTAACAATAACATTGAGAATGCAGTGTTAAAAGTGCAGAGACGCATGCATATATATCACTAATAGAAACAAACACTCACGTAAAGGCACAAAGGTAGGCATACAAACACAAGCATACGCAAACAAACAAACACACGTACATAAACATACAAACAAGCCCACGTACACGTTTCCAAGCCATCTCTCGGATGAATAAATCGCGGAAAAACGTCAACTCCAACTGCAAACATCGTAAAGAACCCAAAGTTCTGAAATGTAGAACGCCTCGCTTCTGCCTCTAAGTACATCAATCACTCGTCCATACGTGTTCAGTCAGACATGCGGGCAAAATATTTTTTTTGTATGCTTGCATTGTATGTCTGTGCGAATAATATGTATAATTTAAAAACATGCAATAAAATTGATAAATTTGATGGTTGCTTGCATTTTCCAACATGCAAGCAGCATGCAAGTTTCCAAACAAATGTAATATGCTCATGCCCCCTCAAAATATTTCAGTTCGAGTTTTTTTTCGAAGTAGAGCAAATTCACAGTTGTCACTTGGAAAGAACTGAAAAACCAAATTTCACACACACGCACACATACTCTCTCTCTCTCTCTCTCTCTCTCTCTCTCTCTCTCTCTCTCTCTCTCATACACATACGAGCATAAACTATAACAGAACTCATAAATATATATATACACAAATTTCTTGTACGTTCATCCACCTGAACACTTGTTGATAAGAATGAACTGTGGAACAGCCAGACACACACACACACTCACAAAAGGAGACAGACACACATACACTCACACACAGATACATTCACTCACTCACACGTCAACACTCCTGTACGTACATCACAATCAGTTAAGTAAACTAAACTGTGTGTCTACGTGTGTCTATGAGATTATTTTGTGTATGTGTTTGTGAGTATGAATGTATGTGTATTTGTATTTCCTACACAATCGTGCTTTTTTGTCCCTATACCTATCTATCTATCCATCTATCCATCTATTTTTAAGTTCATTATCATTAGTTGGAATACATATGCATCTATGCATATTTTATAACGTACGAAGGATGCCAAGAGTTGCCTACATGGTTTAGAAATTTAAACTTTTTTGGGAAATAAACATTAATATATTTTTTTAATTGCCAAAAAATACAAAATCAAACAAACAGAAGCGAACAGAAGCAAATATATCCCAAAATGTCAATAAAAGCACAAAAAAACAAAACGCATCCCAATCTATCATCATTTTATCTCCACAGGCACGCATATATACAATACAAAACGCGTTGTTGTGTATAAATTTGTTGACAGTGCACACACACACACACACATACTGGCAGACACTTTTACACTTACACACACACCACACACAAACAGACACACACACACACACACACAGAGGCAAATATGTCCACAATCTATTTGTCCATATTGAAGTGCTTGTACAAAAAAAGTACAGGCTTGTGGAAATGTTTCTTGTAGTTGGTGGTTGTTGTTTTTCTACCTGGTTGATCTTATGTTGTTCTCTCCTGTCCTGTTGTTTTGCTGGAGTTACTGTTATACTGTTGTTGTTGTTGTGGTTGCTGTTGCTGTCATGTTGTTGTTAGGTTGTGATTGTTGTTGTGTTGTTGTTGCTGTCATGTTGTTGTTGTTATTTTGTTGTTGTGGTGGGTTTTTATGTGGTTGAGTTGCTTGTTGAAGTCATATTGCTAGTTTTTTGTTTTTTTTTTGTTTTGTTGTCACCCTACCATCAACTTTGTATTTTTTTTGGAATTTAACGGATGTTGTTTTTGTATTTGTATGTGTATGAAGTTGCAAAACTTCTGCTGTAATTATGTTAGCTGCTGCTGACATATCGTTTACAAAGGTATTTGTAAATGTTTTTGACAATTTTCTATTGTTACGGCTGTCTCTATTCGGCTCTGTCATACATTTATTGTAAATCGTCGTAGCTGTTCTTTCTGGTGTGAATGTTGTTTTGTTGTTCGAATGTTGTACAGTTTTGTTGTTATTGCTGCTGTTGTTGTTGTTGTTATGGTTGATTTCCAACAACTTAGTTGTGTGATGAGATGACTAGTTATTTATAACCCTTCCAAAGATTTCCCATGCAGATTCAACCCTCCTCAAATGCTCCTCTGCTCCGATCGATACGTACAATCGATAAATCATCCATCACATTCGTCCATTCCTGCTACGATTACTACTACGGTTATTTTTTAGTTTTGAAATCACGTTGGTAATTTTCATCAAGCCACAAAGTAAAGTTCATTTTGTAAAATTTGATGCGTTTGTTTAAGACGCATTCTATTGAAAAAAAACCAAAACACTTCTTAAATTTAAAATTTGATTTTAAAGTTTATGGTATACTTGTAAACATTTCCAATTCATCGACATTCATCGTCACCATTAATGTCATCATCATCATTAATTATTTTACAATTGAAATAACCATCATCACATTGACATCACGTTATCCTCATCACCATCACCATTATCATCGTAGTACATCATTCAGAACGTTAGTAAGTAAAGGATCAAGTTATCATCACCATAAATATTCACCAGACTTCCTCTTAGCCTATAAAATTTCAACCATTGAACTCAATCTAATGTTAATAAATTTGCCTGCTAATGTAAGGAAAGATTATATTTCTGAACTGTAAAGAAACAGGCGTTTACTTATTTCTCCATATATTCAATTAATTTATTATTTTATTTTCATATTTTCTAAACTGCCTACAAAATTATTATTATCCAATTTTAAACTTTGTTGTAATTCAATTTTTAAACATTTATCCAAAATATAAAATCGGATTCTAGTTCTCCAGATACGTTTGACCATAATGTTAATCTGTATTACCCCGGTGTAATTTAATTCAGCGATATAAAAGCCAGAGTCGCAGCTTACATTATATACACATCATCCAAAATCAGAACTATAAATACGCAGCAGTGATATCAATAAGCATCTGCTATTCGTTATTATTTCAAAACGACTTGATACGATACGATACGAAACTAGAATATTGTTGGGGTTGAAAGGTATATAGAAAGTTCAACAGTGAACACTATTTCGTTTTAAGCGATTTCAATTTTTTAGAGCCAGGTTTTGAATGAATAAAGAAAATGACTGATTAGATTATAAAATGTACAATAGCAATCATATTACGAGTGTGCGTGTGTATGTGAGTGCGTGTGTAGTACATTATAATATATTATGATAATTACGAATCGGTGAACCATTGAAGATTTTATCTTACACCAAATTGAAAACACAGTCAGGCACATGAAAAGATCGCAAATTGAAAATCTCTTTGAAATAGATACCTATTACAAATTGATACTTAAGTAGAATGAAAAAAAAGTTGAAATTTAGTTTTTGAAAAATTAATGTTGGCGTGCAGATGAGTATGTGTCCCTGCTTGTGTGCGTGCTTGACGGTGTGCCCGAATGTGTGTGGATGCGTGTACGTACGTGTGCACGTGTGTATGTGTGTGTGTGTGTGTGAATCCAGGTTTGTGCATGTGCATTTGTGCGTGCATGGAAGGGCACACAGAGTGGCGGAGGAATGAGAATTTATTATGTAAACTTGTTCGGGAATCTGTTTTGAATTTAACATAGCACCCTTGGGTCATAAAAAAGTGACGATGATGATGAGTATGATGTGAGGATGATGATGATGAGGAGGAGGATGATGATGTGACAAGTTCGGAAAGGATGCTGATGTTGATAATGATGATAAACTTGAGAGAGGAGAGGATGGTGATTGTTGTGAGTATGATGATGGAAAGGATGATGAGAAAGATAGGTTTCTATATAGTGATATCGAAATAATGACACTAAATGTAACGCTTACTTCATATTGCAGTTCATTTGCTATAAAAAATAAAACCTTCAAGTACCTCTTACCACAGGACACAAGCCAGAACTGCATAAATCATTAACATACTACTGATAATAATAGCAGTCTATTCACACAAACGTCAGTGACATTGAGAGACAAAAAGCTTACCAAAACAAGGGCTCTAGTGCCAACCTGCTTTCGAGCACAAAATCCATAAGCTTTACTTATTGTAACAACATCTTTATACAGTAATACAAACAAAAAGTCAGGTAAAATTTTATAAAAAAAAGTGAACGTTAAAAAACACGTAGTCCTAAAACTTTCTTTGGCAAACATATTATTAATCCTAGCAGCCATAACGGCCAAAATGATGTTTACATCATTGCCCCATCTGTCTTCAAAATATTGAAGGCAACAACAGCCGAAACAAGGCAAAACAAGATGGCCGAAACATTAAAAACAACAACATCAGCCAAGATTTTTGTAAGAAAACGAAATGAAACAACACCGACAACAATCACAAGAGAAACTTTTACAAAAAAAAATCTCAACTACAATGTACACAAACAAAGACAGCATTAACGACAGCAACAACAGCCACACCAACAACAACATCAATGTTACTGCTACTTTTGTTGCAGATGTCGTTACAATATAACAAAACAACAACAACGGTTTAAGCAAGAACAACAAAAACAACAACATCAAAAATATCAACAACAGCCGCAACGACGACAGCAGCAGTAGAGGCAGTAGCAGCAGCAGCAGCAGTATGCATGTGACAACGGTAGAAGATGGATGGCTGAGCAGAGCAAGCCAAGCCTCTGACAGATCCTACACTGAGTTATGCTCATTCGTTTTACGCTTCGTAACTTCAAATGCTCGCTTGCCACTACCACAACCACCACTACTACTACTATTATTACTGTTATTATTATTATTACTACTACTACTACAACAAATTTTACTTTTACTATTACTTATACTGATACATCTATTTCTATTTCTAGCTATTTACACAAACTAATGCTATTACTACCAATAACAAAAATGCATGCTCCACAAAATTTGAAAAGTTTTCATCTTTATGCATCTGCGTTTATTCCTGTCTGTTTTCTTAATATCAAATAACAATGCAATTTGAAAACAAAAAATCCAACAAACATACGCAATACGACAAAGAAATACAAACTGCCAAACATACAAACACACTCCTGGGAATGCATTCCACTGATACACCATACAAAAGCTTCTTCAAACAAAAAATTCAATTACATTGCCGAAGTACTACCTGCACACGCAAGGAAAATGATATTTCAAAACAAAAACATCTGTCAGAAAGCAGAAATTTAAACATTCATTAAATGCTAACGAACAAATATACAGACTTCTAAACAAAAAAGTTATTTATTTGTGAAAAAAAAACTGCACATCACGTATCAAACAAGAACAAGCATATTTTTGTAAAAAAATGAAAACATAGAAATAATTCCACACACAAACACAATCACGAAAAACCACGCACATGCAATGTACTTGTACAATTTGCAAAAATTTTAACAAACACACTAGAAAAAAATACAGAAGATACAAAAACATGCATATGAGTACAATGTACGTTGTACAAAAACAGCAATATACACAATTAGAGAGCATACATTAGGAAAATATTCAAACATACAAAATATGCAAAGACATACATCGTTACATGTACAGCATACAAAGTTAGAAAAACATACAGTTGGATGCAAAATGAAAAGCGTGCCGTTTCTCTCACAAGCCGGCTAATGAGTTTTTGGTTTACGACATCAAAAACACGAAACAAAATGGAAAACATCCATCCATCCATCCATCCATCCATCCATCCATCCATCCATCCATCCATCCATCCATCCATCCATCCATCCATCCATCCATCCATCCATCCATCCATCCATCCATCCATCCATCCATCCATCCATCCATCCATCCATCCATCCATCCATCCATCCATCCATCCATCCATCCATCCATCCATCCATCCATCCATCCATCCATCCATCCATCCATCCATCCATCCATCCATCCATCCATCCATCCATCCATCCATCCATCCATTTTCAACTATCCATCTATCGATTTATCTACTATCCATTCATCTATCCATCCAACCATCCATCTATCTGTTCTTCAATCTATTCGTCCATCCATCCATCCATACATTCAACCCTCCATCTATCCATCCATTCAACCAACCAGCCAACCAACCAACCAACCAACCATTCCGACTGGTCCACACATCGTCTTCCACATTTTGCCCGCAGCATCATTCACGAGAGCGAGATGTTAAATTGTTTTCATCTGTCTGCTTGTCTGTTTTTTTGTCGGTCTGTCTGTGTGCTTGCCTGTCTGTTTGTCTGTCGGCTTGTCCGTCTGGTATCAGTCTGCCAGGCTGTATGATTTACGGCTGGAAGTTAGGAGGCGAGAAAAAATAATTACTTTCTTTTCTAGAAAAAATGTTCTCTTGGTTAAGGTTATTTATCTTAAAAAGTCAACTTCTTTTTCTTCTTTTGTTTTTTTTAAATTTAAAAATAA